TTTTCCCTCCCCACCTCACATGATGTATTGGTTGCCATGAACCTAGCACCCAGGCTCTCTTAAACAGCTGAAATATCCATTTTACCACATGTCTAGGATTGGAGTTAATTACTTCAAATGTTAATCCCAATGCATCTCCCCACCAAATTGCTCCCTGCTTCGAGAAGGCTTTCTTTAATAGCATAGCTCTTTGTCATGGGAAGGGACAGTCACTCACAGATTCATTATCCTCCAAAAACAAACCAAACAAAACATAAAAAATGACAGACCAATGCAGTGCCAGTGACATATGCTATTACTTAAACATTTAAACATTGAAAATTAAGACAAACTTCCTTGGGCATAAAAACCAGTATCGATAGACATATATGTCAACCTCTGGAGGTGGATAAGCTTTCAGTTTTATGATTTCTTTCCTTCTATAAACCTGCTCTACAGGTAGGAGTGCAAAACACATGGTATTAGAATAATAGTGTATTGTCTGGTGTGTTTTGAACTGCATACCTTTCTTCAAAACTTCCCTGGAAAAGCTGCGAGATGAGATGATTCAGATTAATCCATCCTCCCCAATTTCAAAACTTGAATTATACACCTATCCTACCCCACTGACGCGAATGTTCACACAACATCTAACTGTAGTACTGACACTGTTAATCTAAAACAGTGTTTGCTATCGTTTTGGAACATGAGCTTGGAAAGTTCCAAGAAACTCATAGCAAGGATCTTATTTTGATTTTCAGAAACAGTCTTGAAAATATGTTCAACCACAGACATTGCATAATGACTCCTGAAGACTGTACAATAAGTATACAATTGTCAAGAAATACACTGTCCACTCCTCATAATGAGATGCAATGCATCAATTATGGAACCAACAGTTTTGCAGATTTCAGAATTATAAAAAACATAACCCCAAGTCAAGTAGTTGTTTTTTTGTCCATGTTTTTTTTTTTAAACAGATTTGATGTTTATTGATTGACAGATAGAGGCGAAACAAGTCGACAGATAAACAAGGAAAGACCTGACGGAAGGTGGCCTGTTCGTTTCTCATTCTTTTTAAAAGTTTTTACAAAAAAAAGAAGTCGGGAGGGAGGGGTAGGAGGGGGGTCCGGCTTCATGGTGGTGCTGCGGCCTGGCAGATGGACGGACGGACAGACTTGAGGACAAATGGACAGGTGGGCATCTGGGAAAGACTTGGGGGGGGGGGGGGGGAGGTGTGCCACAGGGTCTTAGGCTCACGTCAGTTCGAGAGTCACTGTAAGGATGAGCACTGCCGTCGTCAGTCCCAGTGTTTCCATACAGGGGGCTGCATCTGGAAGGAGAATAGCACCATGACTAAGTCTGAAACTGTGCTCTTCTGCCATCCTGTTCAATAACACTATGCCCGACATGGCAAAACTTCCTTAGAACAACAGAGTTAATAATTCTCAATACAAACTGCTACTTTAACCTTGACATGGAAGTGAAGATTAGATGACTCAAATGGGAATATAATTCTTGCGCAATCAGGATTGTGGGAGCTTTTAAACAGAGGTGGATCTGAATGCACAAAACTGTGAACCTGTATTGTGGAAGCCAGTTTAGTAATGTCCTTTAAGAAAGGCCACTGGGATGGAGCAATCACACTAGAAATAGCTCTCATTTGTCTCTACAGCATATTAACCACACACATATAAACTGTACTAGACTGAATTCCATGCTGGAGTGTATTTTTAGAGACCTGCAAGCTAGTAAAGTACTGTCATTTATTTTTAATTGGACTCCATTAAAGGGTCTGCCCTAGTTTCCTGGCATTTTCTGTTCATTAATGTGTGCATTTATCTGTGTGGTACATGGCATGTAGTGGGATGCAGTTTTGCGAGCCCTTTTGTGTGTGGCACAGTACAAAACTGGTCAGTCAGACACAAAACTGAAAAAACAAAATGTTAATCGGCACACTTTGTTCCAAACTGCAAAAGCATGTCCCAAATGTTTGAAAAGAGGGACATCATAAAGGAAACAATGGAACGCTTTACTATCTAATGGAAAAAAGACAATAACGAGGAGAGCATTTTCATGTTCTGCATCCTGAGGGATTAGGACAACGAAGGCTGGATACAAGTAAACAAGCTACAATGCAGAAACTCCTCATTAGATATTACAATTTCTATAAGCACATACATAAGCCGCCTGACTATATCCTTCTAAACAGCCTAAAGTGATTGAAAGGGAAGATGCATTCAGGAAAATACAGGGCCTGTCTCTCTCTTGAGAGGATGTGGGCAAGGGGAACTCAGTAGAGTTGTTTTACAAGTGTTTTGACTTGCAAAAAAACAGTCCGCTTGAGATCTTAGACTTATGCTGACCTAATTCTGTCCTTACAGCTTTCCACCTGTTTTGAAGCACGACTGCGTTTTTGCATATTCAAATACTCAAACAGACAGACAAAAAGAGAGAGAGAGAGACGCACGGTTCTTGCACTATTATTTTCAAAATAATAGTAAATAAATTCTGTGGCCATCAAAAGAAATCAAGGGAATAATAATGTGTTTTTGTCTCATATTTCATGATGTGATTTATAAGGATATGTGATCTGCAAAACTCTGTTGGGCTTCTGAGCGTTGTGCCAATCTTAAAGGTAGATGCAGGAAGTGTCCTAAAGTACAGTTCCTCTATGTGACCTGTAGATAGTTATCATTCTGACACCCCAAAGAATCTTTCTATTCACAAGTTATATCAAATACATTCACTTCCTTAACTTTATACTGGAGGCAGGAATCTCAGGAATAAAACTAAAGAGACGGATACTGTGGATTCCATCCCACTGTTATACCACAATGTTGTAGTCTGATGCACAATCACATCAGACTGTCTTTACCTTGTGATGTTTTACATTCAGTGTGCAGGCACATTTTAAATGGGACAGGTTAAAATGCTACAGTATGTGCATTTAATTAATCCCTCATTATCATCCTACATCTACAGTAGTTGCTTTCACTGTAATTGTAAGCATGATGTTCATAGCAGCAGAGTACACTGATTTTGTACACATAACTTACTGTACTATTTTGTTTTGCTAACTGAATGTCGATACATCTGTAATGCTCTGGATTTACCTATAACACTCAAGAAATATCTTGGAATAGGTGAAGGAGAAATAATGAAAACTCACTGTTTAATTTCTGTGTGCCTTTCATCATGCTTGGGTTTTCTGTAAAGACAAACAGAGAAAAGGCTGAGCTTTGGAATTTGCAGGATTCAAGAGGTTAGAGTGTTGCATACACAGTTGTTAAGTATTCATTGTTGGGCTGAGCCAAAGATTCTGAGTAGCTTAGGCCTGGTCTTCCCTGTCAATGTCCTCAGAAATCTTCTGAAACCCACCTGTTTCAAAGCAAAACAATTTTGAATTTCTTATTAAGTAAATTAAAAAATTAAACTCACAATGATGACTACAAGACTAAAGGTCCCCAGGATCAGAATGTTAAGATGTTGGAGTACAGAGTTTAGGTAGATAACAATTGCTTACAAAGTAAGGGGAACAGTATTATTCTGGAGTGCTAGTTTCCAGAGTTAGAAACTGTTCTTTTCACAAATAAACCCAATTAGATGAAAATAGATTTATGTTCAGATACTTATTTTACAAATAGGGGCACAATAAAAAGATTAATTGCACTACAGTACTTGGAAAAGGAACTCCACAATTAGAGGAAAAACATTTGATTTATTATTTTTTAGCATGTAATGAATGACCCAGGATTAACAATGAATGCAGCACAAATCTGAGGGGAATAATTACTTGACAGAGGTACTATGCTGAGGTTTTTTTAATCATAGATGTTTGCCTCATACTAAATAGAAACATTTGTAAAGCAGTTTCAATCAAATGACCTACATTCCATCACACACAAAAGGTAGAGAACATTGAGGTGACATTTATATTGTAGGCAACTCTAATTGGCTGTGTAAACAGAAGCTGCATTATTTTTCCCCAAAGCTCCACCATTTCAGTAGCTATTTTTACTGAATTCACTGAACAGACAACAGATCCAACCATTTTACTGGGCCTCTTCCTGGGTAGAGAGAATTAAGGCTTTAAAGCTTTGTTCCATGGTCTTGGGTACACTTTTGTAACATTTACAGCTCAATAGCTGCCTGAACTCAATTTGCTTTTCTTAAAAAAAAATGTTGCAATGGAAAAGGTCACATTTGTAGAATGAACTATGTCAGCACTTTTCTGAGGGTGTCTCTGGACCACAGCGTTGGCCCACATAGCTGGATACTTCTGTGATAAAATGTAAGGAAATTGGTAAGAGGGACTGCTCTAAATTTGTTTTAAGAACAAAGAGCACCTTGTTTTGCCTTTTATCAGACTGTGTACTTTGTAACCTCTTCACTTCTCTAGAGAATATTTTCTTTAAGTTTGAAGTTTTTGTGACAGGGTAGGTTTCTTGTAAACCTATCATGCAAGCAACATATCAAGTGCAAAAGTACAAAGCGTGAAAGCAGTAGATGGGATTTTATCCAGCTCAGCCAATTAGAAGAGAATAGCATGCAAGCAGTAGAATAACACACAACTTACAAAACAGAAATTAGTATAAATGTCTCAGTTTAGCAGGCACAGTCCCATTGTCCTTATGACACCTCTGTAGGTTCTTTCTGAGACTACTCTTAAAACTGAGCTTCTTTTTCTGAAAAGACATTTTCAGAACAGGTGGCCAGTGATGTAAATGCCAAGGACCAACCAATACTATCTTTCACGGTGTGTTGTCTCTAAAGGGAGGTTGTAGTATGTTATTCGCTGCCAGTCCCACCTACTCACCAAAGACAATGAGCCGAGTGTGGGTGTCCGTGGATCCCAGGGGATTCTGGGCTGTGCAGCGATACATGGAGCCGTTCAGCTCTGCCGGCACTCGTTCCAACACCAGCTCCTTCCCATCATGCTCCAAGCTGCCGTCCAATAGACGACCTCCGACTCGTGTCCAGGTGAAAAGAGGCTCAGGGAAAACCTCATTCTGTGAGAAATGGTGGGGTGTCACACTAGTGAAAGACTAGCCTACAACACCATAGTTGTGAGGAACAAATACTGTAAGAATAATCAAGTTTAAGAAGACTTTTGGCTGAATAGGTTCAACTTGAATATCTTGTAATATCAAGTAATATCAAGTGTGACAGCACAAAGTTCAGCTGGTCCTTGAAACATCACAGTAAATTGGATTCACCAGTTTGCCACACTCCTTTGTTGAAAAACACAAGAGTTTCCTCTCCTCTACTCCAAATCTGATGATGTCAAAGATATTTTCAGATAACTTTAGTTTGCATAGACAATATGACCCTTAACAAAGGTAAAGAATGTTAAATTGTTCTTCTGGACCATTCAAATTATAGCCTTATAATGTCCTCTTTAAACATACTGATTAAGAGCCTGATCCAATTTTATCTCTGCCATTTTAAGAATAGCAGAGTGCCATAAACTGAGGAGTTTTCAAGATGGATGGTTCAGAAAATCTCAGCATAGGTTAAATATTATTGCACAATTGAGGATCCATTTTCTTTAACAAAACACCTGTAATGATGTCTGTGAGCTGATTGAGATTGGAGTGATCCCCATGCATTTTTTTCCAAAATAAAAGATTGCTTCTTTCCCTCCTGTTTTTACAGTCATGGATTTGAATGGCGGAACATGAAAATTACTCAATTTTATCAAATCACACTTTCTGTCTTAATTCCAATCCCAATTTTGCACAGTAAATTCACCCACACACCCTGTAAGCATGAATTAGTCTATTGTGTCTTACAAGAAAATATATAAAACAAATAAACAACACAACACCAAAAAAAATACACATTTAAAACAAACAATAGTCCTAGACATGCAACAATACATAGACACACATCTTACTCTGCCCATATAACACTACCATTACGTATAATCTTATAGTTACATGCAGGAAACAGTCACTTAGCTGCTTTGAATATACTGATTGCACAGGGAACAAAAGATTTTTTTAATACATTTTTCAGGCATCGTAAAAAAAGGGCTACCATACCATACCCTGATAGCAAAAGTAGGGATGCTTTCTACTAACATTCTATAAACCTTCTCTAAAATGTTGTGACTCACCGCAAAACCTTTCAGCTTTCTGATCAAAAATATATGCTGATATGTCAAAACATGTTTTTAGAATCACCAGGTTGTAGTGCTCTCATGTTGCTAGTTTTTTTGGATTCAGTATTAATAATAAACCTACAGTATTGATTTGATTTTTTTTGTATAAATACAGCATTAATAATTTAACATGAAAATAACAATGAAATGTATACATTCTATATTTAAATCTTGACTTTACTGTTTAATTGTCACATCTGAAAAAAGTATTTAAACAGAACAAATGACACACTCCTTCAAATTATACTTCACTCAGCAAAAGTTGTCAAAATAAGGAATTCATATTTTCTCAGACAAAATAGTGACACCCTGTGTCAAACATCTCAACTACATGCTTGAGAAGACAAATGGTGAAGCGAATGATGACTTTAAAGCACTATTTTCACCTACATTTTAGTTTTTCAAGGTAGACTTAAGTACTTAAAAAGTATCCCCCTCAGTCTAACATTTTTAAATTTCTTTTCAATGAAAGGTCATCCTAAAATTCACTCTGTTGCTATTTTTGTGAAGGTATGAGAGTATCCCAGTGATCGAAGCAGCAGTCACAGTGTTTCCAAGCACTCAGTATTGACACTTGATACCTGTCCTATACTGCACAACAAGATACTCAGCCATCAGTGTGGCATAAACGCCATTTAACTACTTGAGACTAATTTTTTGTCACTTTGTTAAATTTTGACACACAGTTGTACAGTGCACTTAATGTGATGGTATTTCACCCGTAGTCCTACAGGGCCTATGGAAAGTGTGTTTTGTGTCATTAGATATAAAAATGGTCTTGAGTCTTGTCAGTCATTAGTCTCACTCCACTGTGACATCCTACAGAATAAACTCTTCTTTGTCTGTCTGACATAGAGAACTTTCCCCCTCTTGGATGGATATTAAGTTATATCTTATGTATCAAAAGAGGACTTCAAATTCAGATTATGCAGGAATATTCACCCAAAGATTTGTCAGGTTGTTGGGAATACAGCCATTTGGTGGAGGACAAGGGCTTTTAGCATACACAAGGATATGCCTCCCTCACAAGGATACTAGCAACTCAGTCAACCCCTGAGGCACAGGATGCAACTCAGGACAAGGTACCTGGACTTGGTAAGCCAGTCCATTGAAGGGCATACTAACACAAATTCATGCAGACACCAATTATCCTGGAGCAAACATAGGGAGAACAAAAACTTCATATACTGTAGATGGCACCCCAGTATAGAATCAAACCCAGCACCCAAGAGCAGTGAGACAGCAACACTAACTGCAATAAAATATAACAGGATATAGTATATACATGTATAAAAGGACAACAATTTCACCATCCCTCAGGTCATCTTCCCACCTGAATGGCATTATTGTGAAAATTGTCAAGCTGTTTCACCTAGGATTCACGGCGCTCATTTTAATGTCGCCTTTCTATGTAGTATGTTTGTTTAGAAGTGGTAGTGATAACTAAAAACACTGTTACTCTTGTATCACTTTAGGATAACAGAAAACATGTTCCTGCATGTGTGACTCCAGCCTAGATGACAGAAAATAACCTAGGGCTAACGACACAGCATATAAATATACTACGTGTATGCCTGCAAACAAAAGATAAAGGGGTCAGCACAATATCTGCTATGAGAAGGTGTGAACTAAATATAAATATGTATAGCTTTTTTAAATAAAAGAAGAATTAAGGGATTTAAAAACAATACATGGTCATTAACTTAGAATCACAATACATACTGCAAAATAGCAATGGAAGACAGAAAAATTAAATTTGGGCTTTAGGGATTTGGTAAGCAGCCCTAGGCACCTTGGGAAAACTGCTATAATTAAGGCTGATGGTTTTGTATGGTATATTCCCATGTCCATCGAAATGTGGTTCATCGGTCATCACTTTTGACTAAGATCAAGGTCATAGGAATATACCATAAGAATGGACACTAAAGTCTTATGGTTACCCTTACAGGCGTAATTTCACTCCTCCTTCTGAGTTTATGGTTACCCTTACAGGCCTAACTTTACTCCTCCTTCTGAGTTTATCTCTAAGTGAGCACAGCCCTACGCTACGGGACATTCCCAATTCCCAGCTGATCCTACCTGGAATCCTTGGACAGTGATACGGACTGTGTCCCCCACCTTTGCACGGGTGGGGCTCATTAGGAGTTTTGGACCCTTGGGCGCAGCTGAAGAAAGCATGGAGAAGAGAGAAGAGGACAGAAGAGTTACCGAGAATGCAGAGTGAGACATGAATAGTAATCTTGTTCTTTTTTGTACTAGACAATACCAGGCAGCTTGATTAAACTGAAATCTTTAATGCTGAGACCGTATTAGCCAACTAAAGGCATAATAACATCCACAGACAAAGTATCGCTAGAGGAAGAGCTTTCATGGTGCTAAGTTCTGAATAGCGAGCACTGGATAATGAAGCTTTAAATTTCCTGCCTGTAAAAATTTATACGGTACACTGAAACTGCACTGTAGCCTTATGGTTTTCCTATGTTCAAAAGGATTGAGCTCCTTCAATTTAGCATACCTCACAATCCCAACATGAAGTTATTATACAAAGCTATGTCTAAGCTTTTGCACATTAATTGGCTATATACATTTGTATTAGGAAGACATATATAACATTGTTATATCTTGCTACTGGGCAGAAGAAAGAATTCCAACATTTCGAGGATTTATTTCTGTGCCTGTGTAAACCTACAGTGTTTGGGGCACTTTAACAGAGTAAAACAACAACAACCAAATAACATTGAACAGAAATAAAGATGTAAATATTAAATGTGGACAAAGGAGAAAAGGCATACACTGATGAAGATCTTGACTTAAACAGGTAAGCCTTTAGGCTAGACTTAAACTGTGAATGAGTTTAAATTTCTCAGATTGACAGGCTGTGAATTGAAGAGTTGTTTAGCAAGGTGGTTGAAAGCATGCAGTCTGAGATGTTCGTACTGTACCTTATAAAAGGTACAACTGCCAGATGTGCCTCAGCAGAGTTTAAAGTACTGCCTGGTGCATACTGTAGGTAGTAGTGAGGGTTGGTAAGTATTGTCAGGATTTATTGTGTAGGGCCTTAAAAGTTAATAGTAAAATTTTGAAATGGATATACTGGAGGTTAGTGTTACTCCCAACATTTTTTCTGTAATTAATGGGCTGTAAAATATAGCCAAGCCTCCTGACGGTCTGAATTCAGGATTAATAGTTAAACTAGGATTATGGGAGAAGTGCTGCAGATAGAAGAATGAGATCAGGAGAATTCATGCTATGATCTTGCCAACTATAGATAGCAGTGTGATCCCCATCTAATTTCCACAGTGAGATTTTTTAAAATCATTACATCTATGGAATCAGCATGACAACCATTCATAAGCAAAAGATTTGGAGGTAAAAGTGAGAAACCACATCATTTGAAGTAAGGGAGAAATTCAAATTCAGGTAGGCCAGATGTGGAATTTAGCCAGGATAATGTGGTTAACACCCATACTCTTTCAAAAAGTATCATGGAGATCTTTAATGACAAAATAGTCAGGACCTGAATATCTCATCCAAAGGAAAGCTCCTACTACAGTGCAGTTTCAATGCAGTCACTGTACAGGGACATCAGTCTGAGAATTCTGGTCAACAGGGAAGAGTGCTACCTAGTGGTCGATCAACATAACATACAAATAACAAACTGATCTTTTTGTACGTTTTTCCTAAACAGTACTGACCAGTATTAACAACAACAAATTGTCCCTGGTTTCACACATAAGACTCAAAACTATTTCAAAGCTGTTTCAGTCACATGTGGAAAAGATTCAAGACGCTCTAGCAGGATGCGAATAAACAGGGTGGCAACATCGTTGTCTTGTGCCAAAAAATGCAGAAGTTAATAAATTAACTGTCAGCTAAAGGTGAAAGGCTCTCACCCGTAAATGCCATTTATCTCAAAGGGCAGCATTAACTATATCACACCAGAGAGATGAGAAGCTAAATTGGTTAGATACTAATTATAGGAGAAGATACATAGCACCATCTGAAAAGAGTGGGAACTCTGTGATAAGAAAAGAATATTAATTTCTTATCTTTTGTGAAATGAAGCTTGGCAATGAAATTGTTTGGCAGGGTTAAATGATCATCTCCTGACGTACCAAAAATGTCAGGGTTTCTTTTGCTGCATGCTGTGCAATATACAGTAGTACTTATTGCTCTTCCTCTTCTGTCTGAAAAGTTGAACATCCCCAGCCACTACCCTCACTTGCATTTTGTTAGTAAAATCACTTCATACAAAACAAGCTACTGGAACAGTTCACTTCACTGACTTTCTGGTACCACACTGTTTGTGACAATGAGCATTTTTCCCTTTTAATGGCCTTGAGAATTACAGGACACGGTAAACAAATCCTCTTACAAAACATGCCTGACTATGCAAATGTTTTATTATGTACCTCCTTCCATTTTACTGGAAGGAAAAGCAGGAGTGGGACAGTGGGGCAGTTCTGCCTCAGAAAGAAAGGCCCCAACATGAATAAAACATATCAAATGTTTATTTAAGCTTGGCTGGACAAAGAGAGGCTTGTGCCAATCGGAGTGTGCCTGCATGGTAAAATATAGGTCAGTGCATGGTATTGTTTTATAATTATATTATCGGTGTATTTTCGATGAACCAAGGCTGACAGCATCTACACAAAGGGATAGCGAGTAAAAGGTGGGAGGGAGATTGCAGAATTGGCACCAAGGAGAAGAAAAAGCAGCTAAAATGAAAAACAAAAAACAGGCATGGATGCTCCAAAGAGTTGTGCCCCTGTTTTCCAGATGGCATTTTCTATATTTTAGAAAGTTCCAAGTAAAAAAAAACAGCTTTCTGGACAAGCTTACGTTAAAGAAAAATATTACTTATAACAGAAAGGATAGATTGGCAGAACAATGGATATATGGATGAACAGATAGACACCAAACTCTAGTTTAAATGTCAGGGTCTGTAAATTATGTAAAGCATCCAACTTGTGGAAATGTGCTAAGGCAAATTTATGTACAGACCACATCTGAGAAATTCACTGATTTTATAAAGTACAATACATTTTTAACTTAGTTAATTAATTGTCAATGATACATATGCAATATTTGTTGAATGCTAATTTATCCTAGCAAGAGGTAGTTAAGATGTTCTGGCAAATTAATTTGAATTAGAGAGAGTCAATTCTTATGAGGATAATTGTGGATACAGAAAGTGAGGTAACAGACCAGAGGAAAGATGGGCATTTAATTACTTAACACACACAAAATGCATGCATGTAGTTTTCAAAGTGTCTGTGTATCAAGATGAAATTTTCCCCATTCCCTAAATGAATAAAATATAACCCTGGAGTATAAAAATGAGAACTGTGAAGGTGAAGTTTAATTATTCAAAAATTCACTGTTTATAAATTCCGAAAAGTACAGAAGATATACATAGTTTAAATGAAGTGCATTCCATCTTGAGTGGAGAACACATTTAAATTCCCGAATATTAAACGCTTGAGGTATTGTCAAAGTATAACTGTTTGTCATATCAAGAAATATAAAATCAATTAAAGATTGATTTCATAATCCAGTGCTGAGATCTATTTAATTGCTTAATAAGATGTATATTTATGTACCACTGTATATAAAATTCTTAGGTTTAAAACAGACTCCAGGCACAAATAAGCATGGAAAATCCTACACTGGATTGATCTGGAATAAAAGAATGACTGCTGATGATTTTTAGTGGATCAGAAATGACCCAACTGTAATGTGATATAATTAATTAATCTTTATAAAAATGTCATTATAAAAACCCAATCAAAGAAAAAAAAAAGGATATGTGTTAAAAGGATATGTTATAAGATTTAATTTTACACTGAAGTACTTGAATTTGTACAGCTCTTACCTCAAGTATTTGAAAGAGTGAAAGAAAGAAATAATATTACGGAGAACATTTTATTCATCCTAATTATACCTCCTGAGAAAACTAGTGAAATTTTGCACAAAAACATTTTTTTGACAAATTCTTCTTAAAATTTAAAACATGCTTTCAGAGAACAATAATAGTCTATAGCAAAGTTGAGCAGATCGATCTCCCTTAAACCTTTTTGTCTTTTTAAAATTTGAATTTATTAGCCCATCAAACCAATATAGTAATATTCACAGAAACTTTATCATTTCCTTTTGCAAAATGTTTTTCAAAATATTTGGAATAAGACATTACCACCTGATTGACCTATTTCATATAGTTTCCATTGTATTTTCTTCATATTTGCATATTTTCAGCTTTCAACTAGATATCCTGATATAATGTGAAGCTAGGAAGCTTTACAGGAGAGTGTAATTTTAAACATGGGTGTGTAGAAACTGCATGTTGTCCTTTGTGTTTTAGGTAATTCTAAATGTCCTCCATCCTTTACCCACTGCCCAGAAACATGCAGGTGTGGTTGGGTACTTCAAACTGAATGAGATTTTGAAACGATTTCCATGAAGATGAGACTTAGGAACCGCTGTTCATTAACCTTTCCTCTCTGCCTTTGAATGCATTGATTGCTCAGAAATGGACAAATACATCAAGATAATGCTCTTATAAATCTATGACAGTTTATCTAGATATACAGTGATTGATAAAGGTTGTGAGATAGATGTAAGAACTGTCTCTCATGAAAGTTTGAAGTGGTAAATATATCTTAATTTGATTATAGTGTGATAATTTCCCTTTCACACTGATTCAACTACATTTTATCCTTATTTAACATGTTATGCTACATTAAAATATAATGATTTACTCATGTCTCTTAGTAAATCATGGTATAATCTAAGTCTAGTCAATAGAATCCAATTAGATATGCTATGAACAGCTATGTTGTTGTTATGGCAACATACAGTATACACACACCAAAAAAAACAATATAGTATTATTTTTGCCTCTTGAAATTAAGACTCATTGAAGCACTACTCTTTGCAAACGAAATGACTTTTAAGCGAGTTCCAGTTAAAAAGAGGATATGCATATTTTCCAAATTCAACAACTAATTACACTGTATTATAGTAACAAGGTAGAAAACAATAAAGCTGAATTCTGCAGTATTTATATGAGCACGGTAAGAAGAAATTAGTGCTTTGGGTCATTTGAAAAAAAAAACTTTTAAAACAGAAGAGCTCTCAGCATACTATTAGGCAGCTTCATTTAAAG